CTGCATCATATCTTAAGTATGCGATTTTCAAGATAGATGCAAAATTGCCTTTAATAAAATGTTAAATTTGTCGATGAGTTTGTTTAATCATAGATGTATAGGTTTATACATCTATGGTTTAATTATTCGTATGTTTTTACTTAACTTCTGGTCTCCGTGTCATTACAACTGTGCTGTCGATGTAAAGACATTACTTTTTGTATTAGGTTTGGCTTGTTTAAGTGCATTCCATTATCTTCTTTTCTTCTTTATCTTAGTTATTCTGTCCTTCAAGCACTTTGATTTTTCTGTTATTTACTCATATACGTTTGATTTTCTTGATTAATTACATTATTATTGGGTTGTCCCTGAGTGTTTTCAATTATCCTGAAGCAAACTGTCTACAGGTATATAGAAATATGTCCGTCATAGCATTGGTAGTTGTCTTTTTTTGTCTTTTTTTCTTTCTCTTTTTGTTTTTTTTTTTTTGGGGGGGGGGGGGGTAATCAATAATTTTACTAACAGGATGTTAACAAGTACTTTGAATAATGTATAATTGGTAATGCAAATAGTAAATCAATTGCCTACTATATAATTAACTCTAAATACAGCGATTATATACGGTAGTCATTGAAATAAACACCCAGCAACATTTTAGAAGAAAAAAAACAATTTACAAACTTCGTGCTTTTGTAACGCTTTTCTGGAATTACCATCATCGAGGACATTTAAACCCAACATTTGAAAGAGAGGCTAAAGATACCAAAGCCAGGGATGTATGAATACGTAGAGAAACGTTATGTTATAATGTTATAAATCCTGTCAGTACTGAAGCACTGACTAAACGGTAGTACATCGGAGACTAAAGGTTCTAATCATAGATTAGCTGAAATGTCTGCTTTGATTGAACGAATCATGAGTTGAATCTCTATTTTAACTAAATCAGATAACGAACTAAAACAAGTAATTAAGAGATCAACGTTAAAACTGTAGAATACGCAACATTTAAAAGGGGTTCGCCAGAAGGGTAAACAAATGAAAATAACACATGATAAATTTTATGCATCCGAAGCGCCTTTCTGGATTAACCTTCACCAGTTGCATCAATTGTACACATCTTGTTGAATGTTGGCAAAGCTTGCAATATGTGGAAATAGACAATATAGTCATGAAAATTTCATTCATGCAGTTACTACTTTGCATGTTTGTAGTGTTAAATTTTAAAGTTGAGAAAATAAATAGCAATATAACAAAAGGGGTATGGATAGAACAAAAGATATATAAGACAAAATAGCAAACATTTAATGGAAAGATTAACAGGAGTCATCAATATTTTACGATGTTCAAAACTCGTTTATCAATTTTGAATGACTGAACTATAAATTAGTAACAGCTTTGGGAAGATATTTTTGAACAGGCAAAGAATGATATACATAAATTTGAAGCTATTGCTATAGATAAACAACATGTTTGGAAAGTGTTTTTATTATCGAATTGTTGATTCTACCAAACTCTACTCTTTGTTGCTACTTTATGTATTTTTCCCCAAAAAATCTAGAAAAAGCTTTTTTTTAATTTATCTGGAATGATAATTTAAACAAAGTTAAAAGAATGACAATGGTTGGTAGATATGATAAAGGGATTTGAATATTATTGATTTTGAAAGTAATTTTTGGAGCTACATTGATATTTCATAATACGAGATAAAAATAATGGCAATTGGCAACTAATTCTTAAAAAGTATTTCCTAAGAAAATATTTTTTATATTTAGTGTTTATTAATCGATTTATAAGATTTGAACTTTAGGAAACTATACTGTTGCCTAATATCATAACAATAGGGATTATTAGAAATTTGGACAATTTTTACAGAGTTTTATAGAATTGTGTTTAAAAAGGCTGGATTAAAGCAGGATCAGTCGACCAATGAATCAAAAAAGTATGATTCCAGAAATTTTTTTTTTAATTGGATATATGTCTATTCGCTTCTGTGTAGTTTGAAGAAAACCAAACAAGTTTATTTTGTTTTTTCTGTATAAATTGTTTTGGCATTGCATACGATGATGTCTTTTAGTTCTGTTTATGACATTGCCGTTTGAATCTAGTATGAAGAACAGCAGAAGACGGCATAGTTTCTTATCCGCAGGTTAAGTACTGTGAGCTTGCTTTTATACAGTATAATTTGTTATTAATTTCGTGCTGTCCTGTTATTATAGAATAATGAGCTTTTCCTATACTGTTTTATTGTATGTTCTTTTATGCACGTTTTGCCGATCTTCTCGACATAAAAAAAAACCCCTCTAAACGTCTTTTTGGTTATTTTTGTCGTTGAGTGGCTGTTAGATTATTTCACTTGCATTTGTAACATTGAGGTATGTCAACGTATATTTGTTCCACCTAACAGAAGTTCCTCTGGAAACTTTGTCATAAGCAATGCCATAATATCTGTTTCTATTGGAAAAAATATTCTATAATCTCTATTCCTTAAGGAACAAACTCTGTAACACGTGTTCCAGTGGAAATGATATTACAGAATATTCCTTCCACTTGGAACTTATATTATGACGGATTTTTTATATCATGACAATGTATACAATTATTTTTTATTCAAATCTGTATTTCAAAACTTGATAAATTTTAAAGAAGAAATGTCACAACACGTAATCATGCAACAATTTGGAGGAAAATGGACAGCCGAAGTCATATCTTCATGGTTTCACCGCAACGTCGTACAGTAAACAAAACAGTTAAAAGTAGTGTAAATGTTTAAAGAAAATGCTAGCTAGTAATTGGATACTGCATATTCTCTTTTGTCGTATATTTATAGATTATCACAGGGCATTTTTCATATTGTCCCTGGTATATTTCTCGGAGTTACATATTGGACCATAATAGTTTTCTTTTTTCTTTGCAAGCTGGTATGCATGTATTTCAAAAGAACAGTTTGGACTAGGATATTGTGCCGTTAATTATAATAATATTTAAATATTTTACATTAATTTCCCTTGCATTTGGGAGAAATGTAAAACTCAAATATCGTTGTTAGATACTAGAACGGTCTCTGAATCGCGTAAATATACCGAAAGTGTCCTTTTCCTGATTGTGTCTTTTTGAATGAGTAATGATTTGTATGACGGGTGAGGCATTTTGAAACTTTATATAATTCCAGTTGATATTAGACATATTATTGAACATTTCAAAACTTGTAAAACTTATTTGATTAGTCACTTACGATACCTATGGTATTGTCGGATATATATATGGTACTAATTATCTCTCCGAGAGATTATCCATGAACTTTGATTTTCTGAAACTTTTGCGCATTAGTTACTTTTATATAATAGCTATTTTTCTTCCTTTTTGAAACTTTATATAATTTTGATTGATAATGGTCTTTTTTTAACTTGTCTAGTCTTGTATAACATATATGGTTAGTCACTTTCGAGACCTACTGCACTGTCTGATGTAAATGATACTAATTATCTCTCCAAGAGATTATTCACGAACTTTGATATTTCCGTCTTTCTTAAATATTAATTGCTAGAAAAACAGCTGCTAAATATATATTCACACCAACGGTGTCGTTTGTCTGTGGTGACAAGTAAATTCATACCAGATAACACATGACTAATAGATGACATATCATCTCAACGCATTCATACATTTTTGCAGAACAAAATCCACCCGTCCCCGTCCGCAGAAAAAAAGCCATCTATTCATATATACAATGTACACTAATTGTTTCTTGGATTATGAATGAAAATTATTTTCTTTGTACTCCTATGATTAGAAAATTAATAAATTATTAGATGTAAATTTAAATAACATTAAAATATTAATTTTTTTTCTTAAATTGAAGATCAACAGGAAGAATACATTCATTTAAATAGTTTCTTTCGGAAAATGCCTGTACTAGGTCAAGGATATGACGGTTTTGTTCTTTTCGTTCCGTTGTTTGATAAAGTCTAACGTTTGATTTTGTTAGTTTTTATAGACTTCCCCTTTTTCAATTTACTTTAGAGTTCTATATGTTAAAACTTTTTTGTTTGCAGTTAAAATCCATTCACAGATAAATATGCAAAGCAAAATGTACTTAAAGGAATCATATTTGTTCTTAACCCTTTCCTCCATGAAAATTTTTTTTTACATACCTGTTTCGCATAGGATTTTTCAATAAAATGTTGAAAATAAGCTTACTTTAATGAAATATTGACCGTGCCTTTAATAGACCAGTTAAATATATATAATTTTGGTCAGTTATATATCAAAATAAGAACTTTATTTTCTGGTAATTATTTTTCATATATTTTGTTGCCATGGTAACAATTTTATAGATATAAATACGAAAATACGCTAAAATTAGGGTAGCCACTTGTAACAGCAGTTACATCTTATGGAAACCATGATATGTTTGACTGTCTATGAATAAGCTGAATGTTAACCCTTTTTTTATGTGAAAACGTCCCAATTTTTTTCCATAGCAACAGATTTATTTCCCTAGCAACAAAGTAAATTGTGATGAAATTAAAAAAAAAATTAGAAAAATTCATGTTTGTTGACTCTTATATTATGTAAATAGGAAACATAAAGGGATGTTTTATCATAATATGTTTCCCTAGCAACAGTTTCCATCCAGAGCAACCAAAGGAAATTTTCTTTATAATATGCAAATTGAACAACAGTCCATAAAAAAAACCATTTTCAAAAAAATGTATCATTTCATTCACTGGAAAAACTTTACTTCTTGCAACCAAATGATGTCTTAAAAAAATAAGCTTCTACAAATAAAAAAGGGCAACAGTGGCTTAGTGGTCTAAGTAGTTGAACATCTGTAACACTAGCTTATCAACACTGAGGTTGTGAGTTTAAATCAGGCAGGAGGCAGGTGCGCTCGACTCCAATCTTAATTGACTAGGATTGTCAGTATTTCTGGTGGTTCTCTTTTGGCACTCTGGCTTACTCCACCAATTAAATTTGACTGCCATGAAATAGCACAATAGAATAAATGAATTCAATATAAATTTGTTTTGTAATCCAATATTTTAATGCTCAAAGTCAAATGGCAAATGGCAGTCCATGTTGCTGATGATAGTGTTCAAAGCAGGATTCTCTGCATAAATGAATGTTACAGTTCGAGCAGCCATATACAGTTTCTTTTCGTTTCTTTTCTCCCTGCTTGGTGCACCATTTGCATCTTCTTTTTGTCCTGTTCAAACGAACACTAACATGGTTATTGTTAGGTTGTTGATTAACGATTCTCCTGTTCCTTTTGGTGAAATTCCCAATCAGTTGCTTGGCAATGTCGATGCGAAAATCCAACAAGGAATAGCGCTTCTTCCTTGGTTGATAACCAACAGATTCATTCATAACAATGAACGCATTAGTAATGCATAAGTTAATAATGTAAAAAAACAAATATTTCCACCATTTCTTTGCTGGTCTGCCTACAGGTGTTTTAGCACGGAGCTGATTGTTTCTGTCTACACCTCCCATGTAATTGTGATAACCTTCAACAGGGGGTGATCTGTTTATTTCAATCCTAGTGCCATTTTTCAGTCTTCTAAAGGTGGAGCCTTCACCTGTTGGATTAGAGTTGGTTGACAGGAAATGCACCTGAAAAGAAGTTTGTTAATTGTTCAGAATAGCATCAATAAAGTACAATAACAGACCAAGTAACTGGAAAACAATTCTTAATTGCTGTTCTTCATTTTTAAATGACAACAAGACCTTTAACTTTAAGCAACAAATCCTGTAAATAAATATGTCATTTTTTTAATCTTATCTGTCAAAAAGGTTTTTTTTAGGTTCATTTTCCTATTTCACAAATAGATATGAAACTAAAAACCCATTACTATGATCTGTAAAATAAGTTAGATTTAAATGAATTCTTATTTTATTTAAATCATTTTATTGATAAATTTTCCTCATATGTCACTAAAACATTTACATCAATAGTACCGCTTAAGTCCACGCTAGGGGCCGTCTTGACCTTGTTGTAGGGTATGAATGATTGGTTCATTGTTAAAAGACCCTACATCAACTGTCAAGATGAAGAACAGGAATAAAAGCCCTGTTCAATGATAATTTTCTATGTTTTCAATGTATTGTGTGCGATTTTGTCCCATGTACATTTACTCCATATCCTTTCTTTTCTTCTACATATTATTTTCTGTTTACTTACTTTTTTCTTATCTTGCCACACAGTTGCTACCAGATTGCCATTCTGGCGGGCAATACTCTCCCCTCGAGCCATCCTGGGGGGATCTGTTATGTCTTCTGGAAGACCAACTGCTGTGCATTTTATTGTACCACATCCATAAATGCCATTTCTTTCTAAACATCTAAACAATGGTACTGATGTAAAGTATCTGAAAATAAATATGAAAAAAGTATAATTTTTGTTTCTATGAATTATCTTTTCCAAAAATCAGGTCGATCAACTATAACACAAGAGATTAAAAATTTGTTTTAAAACCTCTATCCCAAATCCATGTTCTATTCATAATTTTGCTTGTATTTTTTTTAAGCCCATGTTTATCTCCTTGTTTATTTACTATCTAGGTTTTTTCATATTTTATTAATTGTTTTTGACATTTGACGAATGTTCACAACATCTCATTGTAGGCATCAGTACAACACTCATGGTCAGTATTCTGTTAATTTGCATATTTCAAGGTGTAATTAATATACAATTTAGATTCATTATTGTTTTTCCTATTTTAATGTAATTAAGAAATTACCTATCCATATATATATGGTGTCCTTTCCATTTGAGGTCCTTGCATAGCAGTTTCACCACTTTTTCCCCTAGTTTAGGCCCTTTGTTTGGATCGTCCTTGCCCATGTATACATTGAATTGATGACAGTATCCAGATGTTGAATCAGCCCGCATCCAAACTTTCATACCTCTTTTGATTGGTTTTCCTGACAAAAAAAATCATCATTTCACATTCTATTTCTTTTTTTTTTCAGGTCTCTAAAGAAAATATGTTAAAATAAGAAGATGTGGTATAATTGCCAATGAGACATCTCTCCACCTTGGACCAAATGACATACATGTTAACAACTATAGGTCACCGTTCTGCCTTCAACAATGAGCAAAACTATACCGCATATTCAGCTATAAAGGCCAAAAATTGATATTTGTTTTCAAGAATGTTGAGAGATCTAACTAAAATATGATTTTGCAGATGTTTCAAATGAAAAAGGCGACAGTCATCTTAGAATGTCAATAGTTTGTTTATATTGAAATTAGAAGAAATAAAATCAAATGACAATATATTTACAAGTGAAAGAGAGGGGAAAGATACCACAGGGATATTCAAACTCAAAAGTCGAAAATAAAGGAATGAAATGCAACCAGATAGAAAAACATTTTTTTCTGCTCTTAGGTCGGGTTGTTGTCTCTTTGACACATTCCCCATTCTCAATTTTACTTAGACTTCCAATGTAAAAGAAGAATTAGGATTGTATTCAATTGTGTACAAATAATAAAATTACCTGGCATGTACTGTTTAATTGAAAATCTTCCCTTGTATTTCACCATTGCTTCATCCACTGTTTGATTCTGTTTTGGTTTGTAATGGTCTTTGAAAGTATGATCTACCATGTTGATGATTGGTCTAACTTTATGTAGTTTGTCGAAACCTTCAGTGTCCCTTGGTACTGCTGTTTGATTGTTATTGACATGAATATACTGATATAGTTTTGAGAATCTGTTTTCTGTCATCACACTTCTTATACCAGTGTTTCCTAAGAATGGATCTGAACTCCAGTACAGTCTGTATGATGCCAACTGCATCACCCCCATCAATATGTTGATTCCAATGAATGCTTTGATTTCATCAGTAGTAACCTGTTAAATTAGAATTAATACTCAGGTTTATTGCAAGAAAGAGCTGTGGCATTTAGGTATTGAGTGCGTTCAATAATCCAGTTATTATGTATTTAATATTTGAAATAAACTTTGTTTGTCCTGGTATTCAATATAAATAAATTTCAAAACTGAAAGTCCTGTAAGCCAAGCTCAAAAGATGATGTGCCAAACTTGGGACTTAAATACATGTATCAATATGCAGCCCAATCCCAGGCATTAAACATGTTGAATACAATGACTTGCATAGGTAGAACAAAAAATGAAAAGGAGGTACATAGTTGCGTTGTTTGGATGAAAATCTATGAGCATAATCAAATAATACAGAGAAGAGATAGAGAATATGTAGTGAATGTGTACAATGGTGTGCATTTACATTGTAGGATATATATCTTTGCCATATAAAAGTTAAAAAAAAATAAACTCATTAAGAAAAAAAATAAATTCAGGTGAAGAAATGAAATTGAAAGCAGTGGCGGATCCAGAACTTTTCATAAGGGGTGGGGGCCCGCTGACTGACCTAAGGGGGTCATGCTTCAGTGATTCCCTATTAATCAACCAATTTTTTCCCACAAAAGGGAGAGCCCGGGCCCACCCCTTGATCTGCCTATGAAAAGCGCAGAAGTACATTTTTGATAGCAAGATTATGCAAGATTTTAACAAATTCTGTTAGGCATTTGCAGTGGCGAATCCGCAAGGGGGGGTTTGTAACTCCTTTTTTTTTTTACGATCAATGCATTTGAATAGGGACATATAGTTGGACCCCCCCCCCCCCCCTTTTATAAATGGTTGGATCAGCCCGTGTTTTGGATATGTGTACATTATTTTACCCCTTATAAAACCAGCACTTCCCTCAAACATTATCAACATAACCCTCCAACCCTCTTTCTGTCTTTAGAATAGACATCTTCATTACTCCCCATCTCTTTTTCCAAGGTTCATAGAAGATTTTAAAGAAAAAGTTGAGATTGATGGAGGACAGTTTCATTTATAAGACATGAAACATACACCAATCTCAATATTTATGATAACATTTTGTTTACCTCTTCCCAATGCTGGTCATTTTCTGAAGTCTGTTCAGCATACAAGTTTGTTTGCTCTGATAGGTGTTGAAAAAATCGTTCTTCAAAAAACAACTGAAAAAAATCAACAGCTTGTGCGTTCAATGGCAACATGTGCACAGGACCTGTCACTTCATTGAAATCTGGTATTTCAATATCCTCCAACTGTTCAGACCAAAAGTCATCATCAGATACACTAGTGAGTTGGCTGCTCGGAATTTCACTCAGCTGTGATTCAAACTCACCATCACTGTCCGGCAATTCATCATCGTCTTCCTCAATATCAGAATCAGGGTTTCTGTCAGAAAGGTCTGAAGCTACTTCAGATTCTTCATCAGATGATAAATCTGATGTTCTCACTGAACTAGGAGGGCTAACTGAACCTGGACTGTCATTTTCGTCCTCCAAATCTGATAACCCGAACCCCGAAAATTGCGAAGATTGGGAAGAAAGGAAAATCTCCATTTCTTCAGTCGGCCATGTTTTATTATCCAAAATGAATTTCCAAGTACACAAAAGTAAAAGCTGTTTATTTTTTTTTTGCAAAATGATATTTCATGAACATAGAAGTTCACGGAATACTGTATAGATGTATTTATTAAAATAAAGTACGAGGATAAAAGGGTATCGTCTTTTTTACGAGAAAACAGCACTGCAAGTACGGTACTATATTATGAATTCCGAGCCGTGGGCGGGGTTTAGAAGTTCGATCAGAAAAAGTTGAAAAACTAGTTATTTACGTTCAATTTATTAAGAAAATGATTGAGGTTTATAAAAGTTATGTGTTCCCGCCCACTTTATGACTCGTTGATGCGTAATCGCCGGAAGTCGGAAAAGGGATTCCCCAAAGAATTCACATGTTTACATTTTACACGGTATCACCTTCTTGTTCAAAATGTGTCGGGGAAAAAGAGTGGTATGGCATCGACTGCATATCTTTCAATACTTAATCGAATTTCTGATATTCCAAATGCTATTTTAAACACAATTGTGTAATGCAGAGTATTTTATTGCAATTTTCTTCTGCTCTAAACTGGGAAATGACATCGACTTGATCTTCCATCATTTTAAAAATTTTAAAAATCTTACCAAAAGTCATTTAACTCGAAACTGTATCGTACAAAATGAAGATAAGGCATTCAATCAACAGTTGTAATCAATAACTCATGACAAAAATCGTAATTAATGCAATTTCAGCTGCTTTGAAAAGTTGTCAACAAAAAGTTGGACAAAATGGCGACGGCGTTAAAAAAAAGAAAACAACAAGAAGTTTAAAATTATAATTCACGTTGACAAAAAATTATTTCATCAAGAAAATTTATACCAGTTATTCACAAGTTTATACTTCTTATTTTGGATACAAATTTGATAAATTTTGACACGGATTACTCGAGGACAAAGCGTTTCAACTGAGGTTGTTAACAGAGGCGTCAAAAGGCGTCATTATGGAGTAAAGGGGGAGGCGTCAAAAGGCGTCATTATGGAGGAAAGGGTTAAGGTAACGAATACAGATAACACCAACTTTGTTTATAATGCTTGATTTTGTTTTAAAGGGAGAGCAATCCTATGTAGGGAGAACAGCGTTCCCTGTCAATGAAAATCTTTTAAAGAAAAAAAAGAGAAGACACCAAGGTGTGATAATAAACCTAAGTGCAATGCCAAAGCCATATAAGTATGTTGTTTTCCTTTTCAAAACTTGATTTTCAGTGGTTGTCGTTTGTTGATGTGGTTCATGTGTTTCTCGTCTCTCGTTTTTTATATAGATTAGACCGTTGGTTTTCCGGTTTGAATGGTTTTACACTTATCATTTTTGGTGCCCTTTATAGCTTGCTGTTCGGTGTGAGCCAAGGATCCGTGTTGAAGGCCGTACTTTGACCTATAATGGTTTACTTTTACAAATTGTGACTTGGATGGAGAGTTGTCTCATTGGCACTCATACCACATCTTCTTATATCTATTGGTAATTGGAAAATGGACCATTAAACCATAACGTTTAACAGTATTTACGTGTATAAACGATGCATACAACAACGTTCTTTGTCCATCATTTCTACTTTTCGTTTATTGTTTCTTTCTTATGACAGCACATGTAATTGCGATCTTTCAAAAATCCCTTAAAAGTCTAAAGAGGCCAAAATAAGCACATTTCATTGACGGGATAATACGACATCAACATATACAATTATAAATAGGTCATAGAAACTGATCCGAACTACATTTCAGACAAAGTCAGAAAAGCTAGACTAGTTGTAAATTTTGAAAACATGTTGCAGTATTTCATATTGGTATTTGGTTTATTGATTTTTACATAAATCAGGCTGTTAGTTTTCTCGTTTGAATTGTTTTACATTTGCCATTTCGGGGCCTTTTATGGATGACTATGCGGTATGGGTTTTGCTCATTGTTGAAGGCCGTCAGTGACCTATAGTTGTTAACTTCTATGTGATTAGGCCTCTTTTGGAGAGTTGTCTCTTGGTAATTATACCACATCTTCGTATTTTTATAAAAAAAAAAGAACATATTTTTTTATGGTATGATACTAAACCCCTAACGGGAGGGATTGTGCTTGATTTTCATATGATGAAGACATAATCTTTCAATCAGTTTAATTGAGGTCTGGAACTGGCATGTCAGTAACTGCTAGTAGTAATTTGTTAATTTATGTATCATTGTCATTTTGCTTAGTTTCTTTCGTTACCTATTCTGACATCGGACTCGAACTTCTTTTAAACTGAGTTTTACTGTGCGTATTGCAGTGTGTTTGTTTATTCTACATTGGCTAGAGGTATAGGGGAGGGTTGAGTTCTCACAAAACGTGTTTAACCCCGCCGCATTTTTGCGCATGTCCCAAGTCAGGAGTCTTAGGCCTTTGTTAGTCTTGTATGTTTATTTAATTTTAGTTCATTTATATGTTTTGGAGTTTAGTGTGACGTCCATTTTCATTGAACTAGTACACATTTTTGTTTAGGGGCCTGCTGAAGCACACCTCTGGGTGCGGGATTTTCTCGCTGTGTTGAAGACCCATTGGTGGCCTTCGGCTGTTTTCTGCTCATTGGTCGGGTTGTTGTCTCTTTGACACATTTCCCATTCCCAAATTTTCAAGAATTATAAAGGTAGTATATGAATTTCAAAGAAAATCCTTCCTTTGCTGATATCATACTCATGATATATATCCAATATGTTCCATAGTTCTTTCTATTGAATTATTTAATACCAGTCCTGTAACTGCACCTCTGAAATAGACTTCGAATACACCACATATGATTTTGTAAAGCTTTTTCATTTTTTTCAAAACTAATAAGACAAATATAAATTACAAGTTACCTGTACTTTGACCTATAATGGTTTACTTTTACAAATTGTAACTTGGATGGAGAGTTGTCTCAATGGCACTCATACCACATCTTCTTATATCTATGTATTTAATCAAATACGTTTTAAAGTAATATCAACTGTTTTGTTGAAATTGTCCAAAAAAAAAGCCAAAAACTGGGACTGAAATTAGCGATTGGTACTGACAAATAACTGACCGAATGAATCCCATTGGTCCACTTCATTTCGGACCTTCAAGAATCTTGAGATCATCAAATGTGTGCTATGACTCTATATAAGAGGTCTTGATCCTATTTGTTACAGACTCAGTGACTGTACTTTAAACCAATACAATGCAAATTGATTGTCATTTAAATGATCATAACCCAAAAGTATTTTTTTATTAACGAGGTAATAATGAATTACTAGTTTCAAGCACTGATTTGAATTCTCTGATTATTGACCAGAATTAACCTAAAAATTTCAATAGCAGATTTATATAAAAATATATATGAGTATCATTCAGATCTTAGAAAATCCCATTATAAACATTAACAGCAATCCCATTATAAACATTAACAGCAATCCCATTATTAACATTAACAGCAAACAGTACTGAAAAACAGTCATTAGCAGCAAACAGTGTGGATTCGCATGACGGGTGATGCATATATTGCAAGAGACGCTTATTATGTTGACGCAACCAGTCTCGTTCCTTATGGAGTTCGTGTGATTCTTTAGGTTATGTTTTTTATCCTATTTGTTTAACCCATTCTTTCATACGACCAATTGTTTACATGTGAATCATGACTACGTTTCCTATTCTATATTCTATTTAGAAAGCCCGTTTTGTGTTGGCGACTGCCATTTTATGCGTTAGGCATACATTTGCATGGCCCCAATGAAACAATCAATTTTTAAGATCTTAAAATCCTGGTAGCTTTGCTCATTAGTGCATGAGTTTTAAATGATTAGCTTTTTTCTTGCTTTTTGAAACTTTATATAATTTCAATTTATAATGACCATATTTTGAACTTTTCTAGTCTTATATAACTTATTTGATTTGTTCCCACGATACCTATTGTATTGTCTGGTATAAATGGTACTAATTATCTCTCCAAGAGATTATCCGTGAACTTTAATATTTCTGATATCTTTGCGCATTAGTTATTTTTATATAATAAGCTACTTTTCTTCCTTTTTGAAACTTTATATAATTTTAATTGATAATGGCCATTTTTCGAACTTTTCTAGTCTTGTATAACATATATGATTAGTCACTTTCGGGACCTACTGCACTGTCTGATATATACGATACTAATTATCTCTCCAAGATATAATTCACGAACTTTGATTTTTCCGTCTTTCTTAAATATTAATGGCTAACTTCCGAAATGCTAGAAAAATAGCTTCCAAATATATATTCACACCAACGGTGTCGTTTGTCTGTGGAGACAAGTAAATTCATACCAGATAACACATGACTAATAGATGACATATCATCTCAATGCATTCATACGTTTTAGAAGGACAAAGGACACCCATCCCCCGCCCGCAAACAAATGAAATCTATTCATAAATACAATGTACACTATTTAGAAATTTAATGAAGTAAATATATTAGGTTCTAAAATTTATATTTTTGTATTTTTATATTTTATTTTTATATTTTTATTGATTTGTTTTTGTGAAAGAGAATTATTTGCTTTGGCAACTATGATTAGATAATTGATAAGTTATTGGATATAAATTTATAAATAACATTAAATAGATATTAATTATTTGTCTTAAATTGAAGATCATCAGAAATAATAAATTCATTTGAATATGCTTTTTCGGGAAATGCCTATACCAAGTCATGGATATGACAATTATGTTTCATTCGTTCCGTTGTTTGATAAAGTCCAACGTTTTATTTTGCTTGTTTTTACCACCCCGCCCCCTTTTTTTTTAATTTACCCATTTTCCAAACACCAACTTTGATTTTAATTTTAGATTTTGTTTAAAAAAAAATGAAAACAACACGTTATGAATTTCATGCGTCCAAAGCGCTTTTCTGGTTTTAAAGGAAGATGTAAGGAGAATAGCGTTCCCAGTCAATGCAAATCTTATAAAAAAGAAAAAGAAAAACAGAACACAGAACACAGAAAGGGTTGATAATAAACATAAGTTCAATT